GACCTGACGCTCAAAGGCGGAGGTGACTTCTGAAGCTCACAGGGCTGCTGCGGTCGCGGGGCTGAAAGGAAGAGACAGCCTGTGATTCCTGGCTGAGGTCTGCCAGAGCCCCTTGCTTCTGAGAGCTCAGAGTCGCAGGCACGCAGGCTGCGGTCTTTCCCTGCTGCCCTTGGAGTCCTCAGACACGCCCCCAGCAAGCCTGCACGCGTCTCCACATCTGCCTTTGAAGTTTATCTACCAAGGCCCTTCCACTCGCGATAGCTGTCTGCTTGGACCTCTCAGGAGACGATGGGGGAAACGTGGCTGCACCTGCCTTTCGAGTTGCTTCATCACTACAGCCTTGGTGTGTAGACTTTAATTCAAATCCATTTGCGGTCAGAGTCCTTTTTTGAACTACCTCCATTAGAAGAATATGTGCCCGCTCTACAAAGATTGTCTTTATGCATGATCACCTTAACGAAGTCTCCTCTCCTTATCTGGGGGCATTGGTTCCAAGACCTCTAGTAGATGACTGAAACTGAGTCTTTCTAACCCCATGTGTATGGACTGTTTTTCAGTACACATAAATACCAATGATAGAGGGATTTATGAAATGGACACAGTACAGAGTACCAATAACTAGCAATTAAAGAGTTAATTATAGCAAAAACTGTGGTAAAAGCAATTTAAAACATGATTTCTGCTTAGTGGTTTTTTTTTTTTTTTTTTGGCTACAGGTAACTGTAAATATGGAAAAGATACTCATGATGAGAAAGAGTCCTGTATGCATTGTGTATTATGTGGTGTGTAGCAGAAACAGACTGAAGAGGCGTGTGATTAAAAACCAGTAAAAGCAGAGCTGGGGATGCTGTCTGTCGTGGGAGCTTTGCTTGCCCCTCCCCCGTCCTGCTGTTCAGTCCTAGATTTGCTGTGATGCTCATTTAGCCAGCAGGCCTTCTCCTCATCCTCCCGCTGCTAGTCTTCAGATGTGATCCCCACTGCTCTCTCCTCTTCTTTGGCTCGTACAACCTGCATCACTCTCTCTTCTTCAGGCAAATGGAAAGAGTATGAAAGGGTGGGGTAAAGGAGAAGGGAGGAAGAAGAGAGAAGAAAGGAGGGAGACAGCAGGCATTTTAAATTATGGAGTTGGTCTCTGTGGCTGAGGGGTGGTGAGACCCAAATCCCCAGGGCAGGTTGGAGGTAGGAAAATGCTTGCAGAAATTGGCATTGTAGTTGGAGGTTTAGTGAGAAGCTGTTGTAGAATTTTGTCTTGTCCTGGAGACAGGGATTCTTTTCTTTTTAGGGACTTAAGTATTTGGTCTCACGGCATTCAACTCAGTGGATAAGGCTCACCAATGCTACTGAGGGTAACTAGGTTTTCTCAATGTCTGTTAATTTAAGTAGTAATCAGAGCTACAAAACACCTTCCTTACAGCATCTGGACTGCTGTTTGGCCAAATTGAGCTTTATAGCTTAGCTCTATAACAACCTAACTCATAAAAGTAACTATACTGAAAGCTGGGCATGGTAGTGCATGCCTGCTGTAATCTAAGCCTCCGGAGGCTGAGGAGGGAGAGTTGCCGTGAATTTAAGGCTAGCCTGGGCCCTGTAGTAAGTACTATGCTAGCCTGGCTTACATAGCAAAGCCTTGACTCACGCCCTACTTCTCTTCCCACCCAAAGCTACCAGCAGATAGCCCTACTGCAATTTTTCAGTTGTAGCTCCCATGGCCCCACCTTGCTTGTATTCCAGCCTCTGCTGCATTCTCCCCACTGCTAGAAAGGCCCTTGAAGGAAAGAGGTTGTTGGGAAAATTCGATTGCTTCTCAGTAGCATCATGTTACCAATGTAATCATATGCTGGCTTGGTGTTTCCACATCAGAACCATGACAAAATCTAAAACACCTCGCGGTCTGACCCCCTTTCCTTCCAGCCCCCCTTCTCATTGCCAAACTTAGGTTCCCACAAAGGTATTCTAGTTCTTCGTATGCCTTGATGATTTCCCTCTATCTGTGGCTTTGGTGTAAGGAACTGAACCAACATTGCTCTAAGGAAGAACTGCGAAAATGGTAGGAATAAAGGAAGGGCTGGGGAGAGCAGACATAATCGGAATAAATCAAGTCTTTGAGATGCGAACAGATTGTGCTGTGGTTGCAAGACAGGAAAGGGGAATGTTCTGGGAAAATCCCATGAGAAAACCTGGCTGCCAGAGGCGGAAGAAGCCTGGAGGCTGAAGAACCAGGCAGCTAGAGTATTATAAAGCACCACCAGGACTCAGAGATGGAAGCGTGGCCAAAAATGGGCGACAGACTGGTGGATCCCCGTGGCTTGTGATTAATGTGGTGATATTTTGTTTGTGATCTAACAAATAAAGCTTGCCTGAAGATCAGAATGCACAGCTAAGCGACTACTTAGTCGTAGAGGCCAGGTGGTGGTGTCATACACCTTTGATCCCAGCACTCAGGAGACAGAGGCAGACAGATCTCTGTGAGTTCAAGGCCACACTGGGCTCCACGAGGTTGATCCAGTCTAAAAGAGAAACAGAGCCAGATGGTGATGGCTCACACCTTTAATCCCAGTACTTGGGAGTTACATGTCTTTAATCCCAGCTCTAAAAAGGTAGAGACAGGAAGCGAAATGGCTGGGCGGAGAGAGGACTATAAAGAGGGAGGAGACAGGAGCTCGGCACATTCAGACTGAGGATTTGTAGAGACAGGATCTTGCCTATTTGGTCTGAGCATTTGGAGAAGAAATCTAATGGCTGACTGCTCCTCCTTCTCTGATCATTCAGCTTTCATCACCCAAATATTTGACTCCATTATTTTTATTTAATAAGACTAATTAAAATTGCATTACACTCAGGTAAGAGGGAGGGGGTCCTAGACAGTGGTCATGGATGCTGGCTTCTTCCATGTTGTGGTTACTTGGTTTACTTCAAGTGGCAGTAGAGCTATCGGGCACCTTCCTGGTGTTGGCAGTGCCAGGGTCTGGTCATAGAACCATATGCCAATAATCTGGAGATAATGACGCAGGAAAATGGTGGCTACTTGGGGCAGGCATGGTGGTTGCAACTCAGAAATGGTTGCAGCTCGGTCAAGCTTGCTTACCTTAGGTGAATTAGACAGGCAAGGTTCTGAACAGAATCGTGTACCCTACCAATTCCAGTGCATATGATTATGAGTATATTTGGCGATGGATGGAGACCCAGGTGGACCAAGGAGAATAGGTTGCAGAGATTCTCTTGATACTTTTGTTTTGTTTTATTGTGCTAGCCATGTGGGGACCACAGACAGCTGCTGCCCATTTTATGTCGGGAGGGCCGAAACGCTAGTGTCTCCCTTATTTTCCTTCAAGAGAAAGAAGAATCACCATTGTTACAATAGTTTGAGATTTGCAGAAAAATTGTGAAGGTAATATAAAAGTTTTCTATGTGACCCATCGCGATTTTCACCTATCAGCATTCATTTGTTAGAATTATTAGGCTAACACTGATCCTTCATGAAGTCTGCATTTCATTCTGTTTTCCTTAATTTTTATGGCAGTTCCGTATGTCCCAGACTCCCATTCGTGATACCGTATTCCTCTGCTCTGGTGGTCTCTGCCTCCTCTTGCCCGTGCCACGTTCTTACATTCTTCTTGATGGTCTCTACCATTCTGAGATACCCTGGCAGATGTTTAGCCTGATGTTTTTTTTTTTTTTTTTTAATCAGGATTACGTTGTAGTTAAGGGTTACCAGGAGGGAGAACACAAAGTCACATGCCGTCTTCATTACATATCAAGACACCTACCGTCAGCGTGGCAGGGGGTGGTTTTGTTAGGGTCCTTTACAAGAAGGTCCCGCTCTGCCCCCTCTGTGTACAGGACTCCTTTTGCAACAGTCACCATGCACTGTGCACAGAGTGGCCCCCAAGGCTATTACTGTGCTTAGAAGAATGTGCCTGGGCCCCTGGAGGGCAGGTGCAAGCGATGACCGACTGAGCTGGGAAGAACAGCAAGCCAAAGTAGACGTCACACCCCCAAATCGGCAGAAAACAAAAAGTCATGCTTTTAAAAAGGGGATGAATGTTTTGTTTCTGGAAAAAAGTTCCCCATAGTATTTTATGAGAAGATGTCCTTTAAATTCTGTGATATGATGGATAAAGATTTCCTTCTGCTGGAGGGAGGGCTCGGAGCTTCATCGATCGAACTGGAGCCACGGCCTCTTATCTGTACCACGGGGCTGCTTTTGACAGCCATTGATTCGGCATCTTGTTAATTGAGAATAGGAGGCTGGAAAGGCGATGCTTTGATGGTTCACACTGGACTGTTACAGTCCTGGTGAGTCTGTCTTTGCAGCCTGGCCTCCAGCAGCTGATTCCAATGCTGATTCTGCTGCCTCCCTCTAGTGGTCAGCTTTATTTTTTCATTTATTGAAAACTGATTCTTTTTTTTTATACAATCTATCATTATTATAGTTTCCCCTCCCTCTATTCCTCCCAGTTCCTCCACACCTCCCCTACCTCACAAATAAGATTGTATCTGTCGTCGAAGAAATGGCCTTTTTCTAAAATTACATTCTCCTCCCCTCAACAGTTTGCTGTTTCTGGATATTCTCAGGTAATTGAAATAATCTGTCAGATTTTGAGAATGGCTTTTTAGGTTTCTTATATGCAGGTCACAATCCAATCTCCCCTCTCTGTTGGTGCTAGGGTTTACACTTCGGCTCTTTACCTCTCTGCCGATCTCTCTACCACTAGGCACACACACCTTGCCTCCATCCTTCCAACGAGCAACCGTTTGTCTAGACCTGTGGTTTTGCTCCCTTGCCATCCACAGCCTGGATTTTGAGAATGACAGCTCATCAGGTGTGGAACTTTGAGTCTCCCTGAGCTGGACAGAAGGAGGGAGACTCTTACAGAGAACTTTGCTTGGGGCAGTAGTCTGTTTGGACTGACTGTGGTTCTTCTATACTGGACACCACGGGGATTCTGAGTGCCTGGTTTTCCAGAAGGATGCTAAGTGATGCTGTGTTCTCTCCTCAGCTCCATCTGATCCACTGGAATTCCACGCTGTTCGGCAGCATCGACGAGGCGGTTGGGAAGCCCCACGGCATTGCCATCATCGCCCTGTTTGTTCAGGTAAATGGTCCTGCTGTGAGGGCACATGGCGTAGAGACGCTTTCTTGAAGCCATTTGGTCAAATTATTTAAGTTCACAATTTTATTACTTGGAGGTTAAATGAAACACATATAAACACTGATAATTTAACCCTTCATAAGATTTTCTTGTATAAAACACTTCACTTATTCGTTAGATATTTTCTTCAGAATGGTATTTGGGGCCTTTGGAGAAAAAAGTTAGAAAATGTCTTCTGAAGTGAGACTTCATTTTATTCAGGAAAAAAGAATTCAGAGCTTTTTCTCTCTCTGGTTTAAAAAAATAATAATATAATCACCTTGTCTTCTTGTTATTAATAACTTTTGCCCAAAGATGATTTGAAATGCTTTGTAGAAAGCAATGATAAAATAAGACTGGGAAAGGCCATGGCAGACTTAGCCAGTCTAAGCTGGGCACTGAGCTCTGTGATGACAGAAAATGTTTCATAGTTTAGCAGATGCATACAACGGAACCCCTGAGCTGTAAAGTAGAAACTTGGTCCTTGGGAATGTTAACAATTTCTTGGGTCTCAGAAGAAGAACATTTGAGGCCCATGGGCTGAATTAAAACAAATCCTTGCAATTGAAATTGAATTCTCTTCCCGCTCTCTACTTCATGTTTACGTAGGCACAAAGCTACACTCGTTTAGCTTTGCAACTATTATATAGGCAGAAAGGAATCACAAATTATTGGCAGAACGCTTTTAATTTTAGTGTATTGAAGAATTAACTTTAAAAAGGCCTCTTTTTTTTTTTTGTAAACTGGGAATGTGAGTGGAGCATCAAGCAGGCAAAGTTGAGGCAGTGGAAGGCCTTGTGCCATCATTTAGGAGTAAGAATAAGGATAATAAACATAGGAACACAAACAATTCATTGTGCGTGGGGAGATGGGAACAGGGGAGCTTCACTTTCAGACTTGTTACACAGTGGGCTTGTGAACTGAATTAGGTGTGATCATTTAATGTTCCCACTGTTGGGTCCTCCGTGTATAGTAGCCTGAGGACTATGGGGGCCTGAGTTGCAAACCTAGCCTCCTGGGACTAGCCCCTGGAACAAGCTTGCGGCCATGGAAAGCTCCAGAACACACACAGATGTTCTTGCCTCCATCCATTGGTGTGAGGAAAGATGCAGGTGGCTGTGCAAAAATTGATTTTTCTCAGGAAAGAGTTACCTTACCTGTGAGAGTGATCTCTCACCAAGTAAGGAGTGGCTGAGGAGCTTCGGGTGAAGCAGGGAATAAAGGAATTCTCAGTACCCCAGGCTGGAGCGCTGGCCTCAGCCATGGACACCAGAGGAGGAAGCAGGGTGCCACTTGCTGACTTGATTTTAAAAGCTTGGCTCGGACAGGGAAGGGCTAAAGGAGCAAAAGCCAGTGGCAAGTTTTGAGATCTGAGGTCTGGTACTTTCCTTCTGCGCATGATGAGCTAGTGCAGTCTGAAAATACAGAAAGGAGACGGGATGATTAATGCAAAAGTATCTATGAGAAGGGCCGTTGCGGTGCAGAGGACATCTCCCTCGGCGACTTTGATATAAAGCCTTGTACAGAGCAGCTACTCTCTCAGGTGAAGAGAGGCGGGAAGTTGGGGATACTCCTGTTTGGTGCCCATCATCCTTTCGAGACTTGTAAAGCACATTGTAAAGTAAGAGGGACCCGAGTGCAGGGTTTGTCTTTGAAACAGCCAGGTGAGAGAGATAATAGTCTGTGAGGCAAACCCACTGAAGGCTGGATGGCCTGGATTAGGTGGGACAGCACATGCGGGATTCTTCTCTGTCTACACAGGAGCAAAGGACAGTCTAGCAAATTGTCGTGACGATCAATTGAAGAGCAGATGATTTAGGGGGATAAAGGGATGGAAGACCTGAGAGTGGACTGAAAGATGTCATTCAATTTAATGAGAAAGGATGAATGAAGGGGCCGAGGATGTTGGCTGCTAACAGCCGGTGAAAGGAGGGAACAGATGACTGAAGGCTGGGTGGGTATAAAAGCTTGGTCAGAAAGTGTGGCCTCTTGGAGTTGAAAATTTCAAAATGACAGGAAGGAGGAAAAGAGGTTAAGGAAACCAGCCGTTTCAGGAGCTGAATGTGGCACCGTCAGGCCAGGAGCTGAGCTGGTCAGGGCAGTGGGATAGCTCACAGCTGGACCACTGTGCTGTGTGGCTTTCCATTGTTCTGGTGTGGACTCCTCAGTGCTTAGGTCTGACAGGAGGTTCAGAAGAGAAAACTGATCAGACCAATCAGTCATGCCTGCAAGAGCTACCTTCAGGTGAAACCATTGAGAGTGAGGAGGGTCCACTTCTCCTCAAGGCCAAGGAAGGTTTCTGGTTGAGATGTCAGCTTTTGCGTTCATGTATAGAATCACAAAGGATGCTCTTTAAACCTTAGAAATTTTATTTTCTGTTTTTAGAGCCTGCCTCAGAAATTGTTTTTTTTCTTCTTCTTTATGACATCGAGCTGATTGGCCATTCTTGGGTTCATTGTTTCTTTCTCCTGCACATTTCACTGTCAACACTGGGATAAACAAAGGTGTGTGTGCTGACAGCTACACTAGCTCCTTACAGGTCATTCTGCAGACGTGTGCACACAGGAAACGCCTCGTGTGGCAGTGCCTGTCTAGCTAAGATGTTTGCTCTTCCTTTCCATTGTTGTGGTCCACTGGAAGCAGCTCAAAATCAGGTGGCACCAAACACTTACAAAGTCAAGATACTAAGTGCCAGAAAACATATTTCAAGTATCAGTATTTTTGTAGCATTATTTTAAATATATATGTACATCTATATTATATGTAATTATTTACAACACACAAAATATATAATTATATCATATATTTTAATATATGGTTACACATTAAATATTATTATAATGTACAAAATGTGATTGTGTGTTATATGGTATATAAAATATATATCTACGTAAATATATAGATACTTAAAGTAGAAATTTTTGAAGAAGTCTTATTTTACTAAGAATGAAGAAGTTATTGAATAGTGATCACCAGTAATCAAAAGCTGTTTTAATTTTGATAACTTTGATATATCCACTTCTGAGTTAATGAAAATTTTCAACTTTGATGAAATATTTATGACCTAACTCTTTAAATGTCAAAGGCAAGAATACAAGGCAAAATATGTAAATAAATAGAAATGAAAAATCTGGTCATGCTGGTGCCCGTCTTTAATCCTAGCACCCAGGAGGCAGAGGCAGAGGCAGGCTAATGTCTGAGGCTAGCCTGGCCTGCATACCAGATTTCAAGCCAGGGCTAGTTAGAGAACAGGTCTTCAAACAAAGAAAGAAAGAAACAAACACCAGGCAAGAGTTTAGATGCCTGTTGCATCACATTAATTTGGAGTTACTTATGGCGTTTTTCTATAGCAACCTTTTATGCTTTTATATTTGCATGTGACACCAGTAATAAATATCTGTAGCAAGGTGAGGTTGCACAGGCTTTTAAAACTTCAGTTACCTTTAGTTATTCACCTGACCATTAACAGAAAGGTCACTCCTTCCCAAGAAGGCCATTCAGGTAGACTGGAGCCTTGTGTCTGGTAGTTATTTTGGATAAAAGCTAAGCATTCAAAATGCATTGTTTGTGGTTTGTGCTTTATGTATTTCAGATAGGGAAGGAGCATGTTGGCTTGAAGGCTGTGACTGAGATACTCCAGGACATCCAGTATAAGGTAAACCATTAGTTAGAAGTTCTATGTGAGTTCCCAGCAGCCGTCTCTAGGCTTGATAAATCTCTAGAAGGGATGTATGGGACTGAGTAGATGCTAGAGTTAACGATTGTGGTTTATTACAGTGTGGTACTGGGAGAGGGATGTGGGCTGAAGTCTAGGGGGACCTGGAGCAATCTTACTGATGTTCCTTCTGGGCCCCCAGTAATCCTAGCATATTGTGAACTAATGGAAGTCTCAAGGCCCTTGATGTCAGGGACTGGTCATTTAAGCGTGAATTGCCTCATTAATTTCGCCTGGCATCTTCAACCTTGCTGTCATTTCTCTCACTGAGCCAAACAAGACATCCCTCCATTTCTGGGCTACACATACTGGTTCACACTAGTGTAGCAGCCTCCAAGGGCCAGGTTGAAAACCACAGGAGTTCTCCTCAAATATGGCATGGCCCAAGGCGTCAGGTATATGAAAGCATCTTACCAAAGGCAGGGATATTCCAAAGGTTCAAAGGCTGTCTCCAGAAGGCAGCCAATGGCTTGTCCTGAAGTTAGGGCGTAGAGGCTTTGAGAAGCCCGGTTCTGCTGAGACTCGGAGGTGAGGAGCACGCTTTCTCTGCTAACTTTTCCTATGGCGTGTGTTTTAGTAAAAATGTTTCTGTGGGTCTGATAGGCACCAGTTGTACATTCTACATCAGGCATTATAAGAGAAATTTAGATTCAGAAGCAAATAGCCATCGACTCAGAGCAGGTGTGTTTTATTGGATCCAGCTGATCTCACTCCAAGGGGAAAAGTGGCTACGCACTAATTTTGGGACATGATGAGATCATCACGAAAGACTTTAGTGTAGCTCTTTAGTTTTAATAATTTTTACTAAAAAATTTATACATTTTGCATTAACATGTCCTGAATTGCTTTTCCTTTTTCAGGGAAAATCCAAAACAATACCTTGCTTCAATCCCAACACTTTATTACCAGGTAAGCCTGTCTCTGGTGGCCTGAAATGTCCTTTAACCGTGTCTCTGCACACCATTTACCTTAGAGTGTCCGTGGCCGCACATTATTAGTTAATAAACCGCACATTATTAGTTAGTGAGGCAGCTTTGTAGTTTCTCTTCTCTACAGCAGGTATAGTTTCAGATCGCCGTTGATAAGGCAGGAAACCTTTTGAATGTTAGGAAACCCTCGCCACAGCTTCCTTATTCCGGAGAGAACATTCTCAGTGACATCATCTGTAAAGTGTGAAGTTGCCACCTCAGTGTAAAGGACCCACGGCCATCAAGTAACGGACACACGTCTAAGACTATCAGGCTACCAGGATGAAATCAGCTTTCTATCTAATTTTATAAGGTCCTTTCCTTACAGCATCATGATTTAAATGCTCTAATCGCATTTATGCACAGGTAATAATTACACACAAAACACTTTGGATATAACGTGGAATTTAAGGTGTTTTTTATATAAAAATTTGGTCTCCACATTTTTCTGTTTATATTGTGTGCTGTTCCATAGTGTTTCAAAGAAAACCAAATTGATTGGTACATTGTATCATCTTCCTACACCTACCTGCTCTGACACAAGCTAGTTTCCCTCATAGATTGAGCACCTGCTTTGGTATAGTTAATCCCGAATTCCTCTTAGGCAATGCCAAGGAGTTCAGATCCGTGACTTGTTTTTTTCTTATCACATTAGGATTTTAGTACCGTGCTGCGGAAGGAGCAGTGTAGAGATAGCTTGAGCAGGATGTTTAAAAACACAGCCTTTGAAAGCAGACTGCCTGGGTTCAAATCCTCTGCCAGTTTTGTATTGTCTTGGACAAATTACTAACATTCTGTAACTCAGTTTCCCTATATAAAATAGGGCTAATGTGTCTCATTTCTTTGCTGTGAAGATTCAATAAATTGATTTATACTCCTCTAAATAGTACTTGACACATAGTTCAATAGATATCAGCTATGAATCAATTAAATATAAAAAATGGGTAATAGTTTCCTTACTATAGTAAGCTTGATAGATATGTCTAGTGGGCCGCTGATAGAAATTTCTGTAACTATAAAGAGAATTAATAATGTTTTTCATTGATTATTGTCTTCGCAAATGATAGTTTAAGAATCCACCTGAGAAGTGACAGACTGCCATTTTGGACTTCATTGCTGGCATCTTAAGTCCATCAACTTGCCTTTTCTAACCTGTCCCTGTGTTTGCACAGACCCTCTTCTGCGGGATTACTGGGTCTACGAAGGCTCTCTTACCATCCCACCTTGCAGCGAAGGTGTTACCTGGATATTATTCCGATACCCTTTAACTATATCCCAGATGCAGGTGAGTATGTGCCTTGGTGTCCTTCAGAGTCTAGTCCTGAGGTCAAATCTTCTTCCTGTAAAGGGAAAATGTCTGTTTTATGCTTTAGTTCCTGTTAGGTCAGTCAGAGCTTTCAGGGAAAAGTTGAATATTGTGAGGCAGGGAAAGCAATAGAGCGGTGAAGGATGAACAAAACTCGTGCTCATTTATGGTCTGTATTATACACATTACTTTCTGTAGAGTAAATAGAAATCACTGTGAAACAGCCAGACTTTTTATTAGTCTGTCCATTCTGTTATGTGTATTTTTCCAGGTCTGGAAAAGAGACAGTTCTGGAAACAGACTTCATTTCACAGGCATGAAATCATTCTTTTTGACATTCAGGATACTGTGATATATGTGGGTATGTAAGAGAGTCAGAAAGAAAGACCTGGAAAATTCTGGATCATTCCCTGACTTTGTTCTTATGGTCCTTGGGTTCCACATGGATTATCTAAATGCTAATGAAAGCCATCTGTGGAGACACACATCCACAGCGAAGCAAGGGTGGTAATGTCATTTGGGTCTAGGAGTTTAAGACTTGGCTAGGTATTGTAGCAAGATGCATTCTACATAAGGAGAAAAACATATAAATGCCAATCCCCAAGGAGCAGAGCCACCCCTGTAAGTTTTGGCTAGATGTTAGCTGGGGAAGCCTGAGTCAGCACCTCTAGATGTTGGGGAGGGGAGCATGAGTCAGCACCTCTAGATGTTAGCTGGGGAAGCACGAGTCAGCACCTCTAGAGTGTGTACTTAATGATTTTGAAGGGACTGGGATTATAGCTCTGGAGAAAGCTTGCCCTGTGTGTGTAGTCTCAGTTCTGACCTACAGGGCCACTTCTATACAAAAAAGAATAAAATAAAACAGTATCATTGCAAAGATGTTTGAATGGTTTCTGTCTTTTAGAGATCTAAGGGTCATATTCTCAAAAACTGTATTTTTTCTTCATCACCAATTCCCAAATGCTTAAGAAACAGACCACACCAAATTTTACGATTTTTTTTATATATCATCATTTCTTCAAGGGGCTCAAGTTTGCTAAGTTCTAGATTGATTCCTATGCTAGCATTATTTTTATTTTAAAAATACTTTTAATTTTTGAGATTATAATTACATAATTCCTCCCTCCTAATCCTTCATGTAACCAACTCCCCTCCCCATCGCTCAAGTTTATGGCCTCTTTTTTCATTAATTGTTGTTACATAAGTATATGTATATATAAATACCTATTTATCCACAAATACATAAATATAACCTGCATAGTCTGCATAATGTTACTTGTATGTACTTCTCCAGGGCTGACCATTTGGTGTTATATAACCAACTGGGGTGCCATTCCCTGGGGAATTTCTCCCACTCTTAGAATTTCTTGGTTTAGCATTAATTCTTTAAAATCTTAATACTTAGCATTCTCAATCCTTATTTCTGCTTGTCTAGGGAACACTTTAAAGTCCCCATTTACCCTCTTCTCCATGCCTTTTCCTGTTGGTGGACTTTGACCACATCCCCTTCGGCTCTTATTTTCCATAGGACAAATCCTAAATCCATTCTTTTCCTTCTCCTCCTCTTTCTCCTCTTCCTTTTTCTCCTCCTCCTCCTCCTTCTCCTCCTTCTTCTTATAAGAAACTCTGCCTAAAATTCAAGATATAACTCTTTAATACTTTTAAGGCACAACACAATGTTGTTAGCAGTAAGAGCTATACTGTATCGTGTATTCTAGAACCCTTTTATAAAACTAAGACTTTGGATAGTTGGCTGCTTCTTCCCATTTCTACTTCCCACAAGCTTTTAGTAACTTCCATGCTACCCTCAGCTTCTGTGACTTCTGTTTTACATTCCTGTGTAAGTGAGATCTAACAGTGTCTTCCGGTGTCTGACTTATTGCCTCATCTGTGCATGGAACCACAGGGACTGAAGTCAGGACCTTGCAGAGACATCTACACTCTGATGCTCTTGGTGGCCCAAACCTGATGTTTTAATTAGGGTTTCTATTGCTGTAATGAAACACCATGACCACAAAGGAAATTGGGGAGAAAAGGGTTCATTTGGCTTGTACTTGCTGATCATTGTCCATCATTGGAGGAAATCAGGACAGGAGCTCAAACAGGAACTTGGAGGCAGGAGCTGATGCAGAGGCCATGGAGGATGCTGCTTACCGTCTTGTTTCCCCTGGCTTGCTCAGCCTGCTTTCTTATAGAACCCAGGACCACCAGCCCAGGGATGGCACCACCCACCGTGGGCTGGACCCTCCCCCACTGATCTCTAAATGAGAAAAAGCCTTACAGCAGGATCTCAAGGAGGCATCTCCTCAGCTGAGGCTGCTTCCTCTCTAATGATACTACCTTGTGTCAAGTTGACACACAGTACAAACCAGGGCACTCCCAAACACTAAGATGCCCATGGTGGGTGAGTTAGTGGAGGACACTGACTTCAATGTTTTGTGCTACTTTTTTTTTTAAGCAGGATGACACAGGACATAGACATCAAAATAAGTCTGTGAGATTGGAGAGCCACTGGAACTTGGCATCTCCTGTAAGAGAATTCGCCTCCAGCTGCAAACTGTGGGAATTAGCCTCTTGAGTGCGCTCAGAAAGAAACAGCTTTAGAGCTGGGCTTTAGTCGGCAGTCTGGTTCATGAGTCTGTGTGGTTGAAGAGATGTGTTAGACCAGTTGGGTTGCACATCTGGCTCCACCTTCAGGAGATGGCATGGCTGCCTCCAGGGTGCAGGATGTCCACTCGTGTCTCTGGTCCTCTCCATGCTCCTCTTTCCCTCCACTTCAAGTTACTAATGCATTTTAGGGGTTAGCATATTTAAAATTGAATTGCATGTTTTGGTGGAGTAGCCTTACGGATCCATATGGTTTCCTTGCACTATGGCTGCTCTAATGCCTGCTCTCTGGGTGATCGAAGACTTTTATCTTGAAACATTCTTCCGCTCTTTCATCACAGCCCCTTGTTCTGGCCTGATGTGGGCTGATTCCACATGCACTGGAAACCATTTAAACCGATAAAGGATTTCGAGGGGTGATTATTTCAGGAAAATGATGTTTTTGGAAGATGAGTGTCTCTTCCATCTCAGCTGATGTTTGAACTCTTCAAAGGGTCACTGATCGGGGAGAAACATCCCTGGGAGTTGTTTTCTGTAGAGGGTAGTGATGGAGGCTGCCATTTGCCTAGATCGTCTCTCAAGAAGTTGTTTTCACAGAACGTGCTCCAGGCTGAGGCCCCGGTCTTGAAGGATGAGCCTTCAGCTTAGGAAAAAATATAAAAACTAATCAAGTTTTAAAATAAGTTTCAAACTCAGTGAAAAATGGCAGAGTTCCTGTGATGTGCTTAGGCAGTTAAGTTTCTAGTCCACACTGCTTCTCACCGGCCTGCCCCACAGGTCATGAACTTTGGCACAGTTTCTTCATTTAGTTTGAAGTGAATGCTGAGAGGCAGGACTTTAACCTGTCCTATATTCCTACATAATTGACTTGCTATCAATTTCTGCTAAAGATTTTGGGACTTCTTTATACGTCAAACCTGGACCATTTGGAGATAAATCTTGATGAAGGAAATAATGGTTTCTTTTATTTATTTATTACTATTTCATACATGTATATAATGGAATAGAGTCAAATACATATCCTGCAACACCACTCACCCTTGACACCTCTTCATTTCCTCTTCCTCTTCTTCTGCCTCCTCCTCTTCTGTGATAACCTAATCAGGGCAATTAGTGCTATTCACATGTGCATGGGACCAGGGCCGTCCATTAGAGCATGGGGAACCTACCCGTGGCTGTACCCTCAAAGGAGAGTGATTTTCCCTTCCTGAGCTGTTAACAATGGCCAGTAGCACCCCAGTAAGGTAAAGAGACTGGGATCAGCCCCCAACCATATTGGATGGCTTGATCTTAAATCTGCCTGTGTGGGTAACCACAGTTACTGTGGTTCGTGTATATGAGAGCCTTGTCATGTCTAGAAGACAGTATTTCACAGCTCTCCCCAGTTGAATTAGGAGCAGCGGGGCTGTGTCCCCGGCACCCGGCCGCCCGCATGGCTTATGCCTGAAATAATTACATGGAAACTGTATTCTTTCAAACACTGCCTGGCCAGGCTAGTTCCAGCTTCTTATTGGCTAGCTCTTACATATTGTTCTAACCCATTTCTAATATTCTGTGTAGCCCACGAGCTGGCTTACCAGGGAGGATCTTAACCTGTGTCTGTCTGGAGCGGGAGAATCATGGCAACTCCCCGACTCAGCTTCTTTCTCCCAGAATTCTGTTCTGCTTTCTCCGCCTACCTAAGGGTTGGCCTATCAAACGGGCCTAGGCAGTTTCTTTATTAGTAAGAAATCACTCCCACATCACTCCCCGAATCTTCCAGCTCTTACATTCTCTCTGTCTCCCATTCTGTGATGCTCCTCGAGCCTGGGTAGGGCCGGGAGTTTGCTAAAGATGTCCCGCGCAGGGCTGAGCACCCTGTCACTTCTTTTCAGCACCTTAGCGATTATGTGCCTCTGCGTTGATTTCTGTGTGTGCAGTTAGTTACCCTGTGACAGTTCTGCCACTGTGACACCCGTGGGTACCTCCTTCCTGGCAGGTCAGTATCGTAGCCTTCAACATCCCCAGCTGCGTGAGAACAGTAGCCTCTTTTTACCCTCAGCCGTGTGCATCATCAGCACTGAGTGCTACTGAGCAGGGAGGTTTCCTGCACAGTTTCAGGTTGACGTCTCTCTGGCCTGCAGTCCTAGAATGTGGTGTGTTCAGCCATAAGGTCTTACCTTGCAGTTCTAGTGGGCATCGAGGGGGCATTTACAATATCCTTATGGAGGCCTACAATAACTTGTAGGGGAGGTGCCCCATGCCCTGCACTGCGATCTTTGTTGAATAACCCATATCCTTTGGAATTGGCCATGTCCACCTCACTTAAGATGCCTCCATTTGAATTTATTTCTTTTAGAGTTGTATTTTGAAATTTGCTTATTAACTAGTGTGTTTTCATAAGACCTTTTCATCAATTAGTTTATGTTAGTGTCTTACGGTTTTTATTGCTATGAAGAGACACAATGACCACAGCAACTCTTATAAGGAAAACATTTAATTGAGGAGACTCATTTACAGTTTCAAAGGTTCAGTCCATTATCATTATGGGGGGAAGCATGCCACTTCCTATGAGATTATGGGGCCAATTACATTCAAACTACCACAATTAGCCTACCCATCCTCCTCTTGTCTCTTTCTGGGTGTGTTACCTCACTTAGTACAAGCTTTCCAGTTTCATTGCAGGAGTAATATTCCACTATGTATATGCAGCACAGTTTTCTTCCTCAGTCATTGGTCAATGGGCATGTGGTATGATTCTGTTTCCTAGATATTATGCATACAGCATCCATGAATATAAATGTTTACTTGTGTCTGTAGGAGAATATAAAGTTCTTTGAGTTTGTGCCCAGGAGTGGTGTAGCTTGGTCTTTTGGTAGTTCTATGTCTAGTTTTTAAACATCCAGATTTATTTCCAAAGTGGCTGCACTAGGTTACAGCTTCCCAACAGTGCACAAGAATTCCCTTCTGCTGTATCTACATCAGTATTTGTTATTGTTTCCATTATTGGTGATGGCAGTATGGCCATTCTAAGTTGGGAGAGATGGAATCTTACAGTGGTTTTAATCTGCATTTCCCTGATGGCTAAGGATATTGAGACTTAAGGATGTTGCTTCTCAAGGTGTTTCTTACACACACACACACACACACACACACACACACACACACTTGAGAATTCTCTGCTCAGTTTATAGCCCGACTTAAAAATGATTTTAGTTTATATTTAAATTGTGTGTGTGTGTGTGTGTCTGTGTGCCTGTGTGGGTGTCTGTGTGTGGTATGTGCATTTGGATGCAGGTGCCCTCAGAGGCCAGAAGAAGGTTTCAGGTCCTCTGGAGTTGGAATTACTGGTGGTTTTGAACCATGTGGGTGTTAGGGACTAAACTAGATCCTCTGTAGGAACAGTTTGCACTCTTGACTGCTGAGCATTGTCTCCAGTTCCTGTAGGCCACTTTCAAATTAGTGTCTTTCCTTTCTTTTCCTTCCTTCCTTCCTTCCTTCCTTCCTTCCTTCCTTCCTTCCTTCCTTCCTTCCTTCCTTCCTTTCTCTCTCTCTCTCTCTCTCTCTCTCTCTCTCTCTCTCTCTCTCTCTCCCCCCCCTCCCTCCCTCCCTCCCTCCCTCCCTCCCTCCCTCCCTCCCTCCCCCTTTCTTTCTTCTATATATATATATTTTGAGATGTTTCTTTGTGTAGCCCTGTCTGTCCTGGAACTCACTCTGTAGACTAGCCTGGCTTCCATCTCACAGAGATCTGCCTGCCTCTACCTCCTGAGTTTATTAATAAACAACTGCCAGGCAGATTTTTTAGAGAATTCTTTTTTTTTTTTCGAGACAGGGTTTCTCTGTAGCTTTGGTGCCTGTCCTGGAACTAGCTCTTGTAGACCAGGCTGGCCTCGAACTCCCAGAGATCCGCCTGCCTCTGCCTCCCAAGTGCTGGGATTAAAGGCGTGCGCCACCACCGCCCGGCTTAGAGAATTCTTTATATGTTCTAGGAACTATAACCCTCTGTCAGATGACTATCAAACAAAGATAGCCTAGGAGTCCATGAATTCTTGCAGGACCTCCACCAACTAGCCAGCGTGGACATAGTGGCATCCGAGAATGGTGGCTAAGAATGTACTTGAGATTATTTTAGTATTTCCTCCTTTGTTCACCCTTTTCTGTCTGCTTGCTTTAATCTGACACAAAAATTTTGTGTGGTAGGATTTTCACATTCACAAATCCAGTAGTTTTCTACAGATTTGGAGTTACCCGGATTCTCAGTTCCTGTTCTCTTCTTTTAAGGGCCTTGTCTCATATCCTTAGGTATGGCACAACTAAATCTGTTTTCCTGGTTTAAAATTGTTTGATCTATTGTTACTTTAAAGTGCATGAATGCATGCATGTGTGTATGTGCGTGTGCACGTGCGCTTGTGTGTGAGTGAGTGCATGTGTATGTGCGTGCATGTGTGTGTGTACGTGAGTGCGTGTGTGTGCGCGCGTGCACATGCGTGTGCACTATGAGTACCGTACCTCTGCAGGCCAGAAGTGGGTGACAGATCCCTGGAGCTGGACTTTCAGGCGGGTGTGAACTGCCTGATGTGAGCGCTGGGCACTAAACTTGGGTCCTCAGCAAGGGCAGCATTCATTCTTGACCGCTGAGCCGTCTGCAGCTCTGCGTTCCTTGAAGTTCAGCGTTCGTTTTTCTCGTTTGTCCTGTCATCTGTGAATATTTTTAAAATGTGTTTCTGAAGCTCCAAACCTGATAACGTGCGGTTCGTGACTGATCTCCTTTCTCCTGCTTCTCATTCCAGATAGAGGAGTTCCGAAGGCTGAGGACACACGTGAAGGGGGCAGAACTTGTAGAAGGCTGCGATGGGATCCTGGGGGACAATTTCCGACCTACCCAGCCCCTGAGTGACAGAGTCATTCGAGCCGCATTTCAGTAGCCAGAGAGATTGCGGTCAAGCCCGTCTGCATCTGGGTATGTGAGATTAGACAAGAGTTACCTTAACCCAGCATCCCGAGGTCACTGTGGACTACTGGAATATGCTTCATTTGAATACATTTATGATGCGTTCTCACGTCCCATTCATGACAAGTCAGGTGGTCCTTTTCATTTCATGCAATATTTTCTTTAAAAAATATCAAAATCCTTACCCCCACTTTCTGCCTTAATAGTGGCTTTCATAAGGAAAGTTGTGTGGGGTGCAGAGGCACAGGGGTTACTTTCGTGTGCACTTTCTATGCACTAGCCACTTCCTGTGATCAGGAACAGGAACAGAAGCCTAGAAAATGAGCCGTCCTATGTATCACCTTGTAGGGTCCTCTTGCTCATTGGTAAATGGTGGGCTGATCTAGCAGGAGTGGAAGTCCTGTAGGAATGTTTTTATTAGCACATCTTGCTTGTACAAAATAATGGGCTTGTGTGTGACATTTTTATATACATGACATACTTTGGCCGTATCACTCCTGTCTTATTACTCTCTTTTGTTTGTTTCTTACAACTGCTTTTTATTTGCAAAGTCAAGAAACACATGCCAGCTATTTTAATATTGTGCATTATGTTATTACTTATTTATTGTACTTTATATCGAAGTCAGTATATTTATTACTTAACTTCAGGGAGCTCACAAGCATGGGAAAGATAAAAGTATGCTAAGATTACTACGTATTGGAATCTTTCTTTACCTTGTAAGCCACCTAAGTGTGCATGGATCAGAGACACTGGAGCAGGGAGCTGCTTCCCATAATGGGGGCGTGCCTGCTAGAGCAGTCTCTGGAGATGCAGGATGAAGCTGGTACTCATGATGAACTATATTTATCTGTAAATGACACCTTCAGTGACAGAATATTATTGCTTTAGATGTTTGATTCATACCTTGTCTAGACCAGAGTTACTTTTGAGTATCTAAACAATCGGCACTATTCTCTGTGTGTCCTTTGTCCCTCTGTCTGCCTTTCTCATAAACAGATACAGAAATCTCAAACTGCTTATGAGATTAAGTGTATTCCAGATCCTTAATTATTTGACAGAAAAGTGATATTTACCTTTTCTAGGTTTTTTAAACTCATTACAATTGAGATATCTTTTTTCAAAGGGAAAAATCCTTCAAAATTTCTAATTCTGATTTTTTCCTTTTATGAATATATTTTATCCCTCTGTCTTGAAATGTATAATACAAATGTATTCATAATTCTACATAAAATTATATTGGGAAATCAGATTTATGGATATGTTCTTTTTATTTGATATTTAATAATGCCCTAAGGCATGTAATTCAAATTTTTATTAAAGTGAAGTTATTTGACAGTCAGCCTTTGAATTTAATGCATGAATGTTTCATTTAGGCTCTTGGAACTAAAGAGGGGGGGTAAATTCCATGGTAGTTGTTCTCTTAAAAATGTTTAAAATAATTCAGATTTATTTCAGCGGTGCTCTTGGAAATAGCTTTAGTTTTGGAATTAAAATGACAGGTTTTAAAAATGTGACAATTCTGGACATCTGGAGGGCCTTGATAAGAGGAATTATTATTCCCGTGAGGAATCTGAGACCTTTTAATATTAGCATTTAATAAGTGTGAATTAGGATTTGGTAGTTGTTTATGGAATTAGCACGTAACTCACTGAGGCGCCAGGAATTCTCTGGTTCAGTAGTGCTGGCTCACATTTCAGGGGGACAATTGCGATGAAGGGGTCCATTGTTTATTGAAGTTTTAAAGAATATTTACTTTTTATTTATATGTATGCGTGAGCGCATGCCACATATGTGCATGGAACCCATGGAATCCAGAAGATGGCATCAGATCTCCAGGAACTGCCATTACAGGAGCGTGTGGGCATTCTGGTGCGGGAGCGGGAAACCAATCACAGGTCCTCTGGAAGATCAGAAAGTTATCTGCTGAACCATCTCTCCGATTTTAATTAATCTTTGATTTTTTTAAAAAATAGGATTCAGAAAAACCAAGTCTTAATAACAGAAATAAATAGGTTTGGGGTCCAGTTCACACATAATGCCTTGTATTATAATACTAGCACATAATATTTGCCTGTTTTGTTAACTTTTAGCTCAGTGTAGAAGCTGTTTGGACTGGCCACAGAGCCGCTCACCCAAGACTCATACAATATTAGTCCATGCACGGGTTTTTGCTAACTGCAATAAATCAATGCTTTGCTTTCTGCAAGCATTAATTATACATGTTTGTTTAAATCACTTTCTTCTCCTTCCTTAAAAGCAAAAGCAGTAACAAACAGAAAAATAAAGGATTAGCAAACATCCCAGAATAATCCTTTGTCAGAATTGATGCCATTTTTCTTTCCAAATCTTTGAAGTCATCCTTGACTGTGTTGAACTTTTCCCGACACGTACTTTTGCAATTCATGATTTTGCCTTCTTATCTTTGATGAGGAAATTTCTTATCTGTTTTCTCTTGGAACCCCAAAGAATTCTAGGCTAGAGAAACGCAGAGCATTATGGGAAAGGAAGGCCTGTGTGAGGAAGGTGAGGAGTGTCACACTGTGGAAGCCTACCCATTATCTCTCCAGGGTGAACAAAAAGCTGAAGGGCAGGTTTTCAGCGAGCAGCACTTGGACTTGAACCACAACACGGTGTCCAGCATTAGCAAGAGGATCAAGCACCTCACAGACAGGACTGTTTCCTAGTCCCTGAGTCCTATAGAATTCCCTCAGAATGAAATAGAAAAAAAAAGTTTACAGGATGATTTCAGGAAAATGCCCAAATACCATAAACGCCGAAACCATCTCTTAGGTTTTGATTATGTGATATAAAATTATTATTCGCCCGAGAGTAAAAAATATCAGGACTATATTGGCTCTCTTCAGGATTCCTGCACTATGCAAGCAATTCCTGCATTGAAATGTGTCCCTTTGCCTTTTTATAGTTTAGAAATGTTGATAATTTGTTGTGGATGAAAATTCTGAAATGATTTATTTTTTCCACACCTGAGAATGTATAAAAGAGGTGGTTTAAGAAGAAGTAAAGAAAGATTTTGCAGCCAAGAACCAATGTGCTGTTGACTGTATGTTCTGATCCCTGAAATACAGTCAGTTTCATAATTTTTAACACCTAAGAATGTTTTCAGAAGAAAGACATCATGTCTGTGGCCGGTGTATGTGGTCTAAATATGTTCTGTGTGTCTGTTGCTCTTTGCTCAAGGGCTGTATGTTGACATAAACATGGCTTTAAGTGGGCAGCTAAGAGGACATACATCAGCCAGGGGAAGAATTTACCTCTAGGAGTGGTAAGGCAGCCTTTTCCTATAGATATGTAGATCAGAGCCTAGATAAGGCTTTTGGGGGGTGTGGTGGGCTAGAACCCTCTCAGTTCCTGAGTGCTGTGGATGCTGGCTGCACAAGCTTATCCCAGCCGACCTCTTGGGTGCCTTTGACTTCTGTGCCTGTGTGGTGGACATGCCTGTGTCTGTCTCAACAGCTTTATCATGGCAAAGGCAAATAAGAGGATGGGCTGCAGGGACGTGAGGAGGGGTCGAAGTTAATAAGGTCTCCAGCTAGAAAGGTAAAAGCTAAAAATAAAATTGGGGGAAGTTGCCAAAAATGAGTACAGAAATAGCATGCTCTTTATTCGTGAGTTTAAGAAGATGTTTTCTCTTATTTTCTGCTTCTTGGAGCAGAGTGCACTGGAGCAGCACCACCACATAGAAAGCCATTTCTACGCTAGTGTTTCATTCTGAGTGAAAGCTTTAAAGGGAAAATATAATCTGTAGTCAAACTCTTCTCTGTTCTGCCAGTCAGCTCCCATATAATGACATGGAGATGTCTTATTAATTATGAAAGCTGGGCCTTGTCCACTTTCTTCTTGTCCCACTGGCTCTTATAACTTAATTTACCTGTTCCTAGTTTGCCTCAGGTTTTTCTTTAACCTCTCTTTCATTCTGTATGTCCTGCTCTCCTGCCTCCTCAGTGGCTGGCTGGCCGGCCCCTGGCATCTCTCTGGTGTCTCTCTCTGTCTCCCCCAAGCCTAAATTCCTCCTCCTACTTATTGTCTCTGCCCTCCAGCCCCACCTAGCTATCGGCCATTCAGCTTTTTATTAGATCAACCAGGTGCCTTAGGCAGGCAAAGTGATAGTTAAATATTCCACAACACAATCAATATAGAATTAGTTAATTTGCTTAAAATTTTTCTCAATTAGAAAAAGAACACAGAGAATTTCCTAGTATGTCAGATTGGCTATTTACGACTTAGCCTGCTCCTGAGCAAGGTTAAATGGCTATAGAAATGGCTAGGCTGTCTTCTACCCCACCTCCACGACCAGGAATTTTCCAGTGGGATGTCCGGAGTATTCTATTGGCTTCTGACTATTTAAATACGGTTTGTACTTGAGGGACCACAGTTTTCCTCCAACAAGTCTTTCCCAAGTATACTAGCCTTACTAGCCTTTCTGTACTTACTGGAGTTCAGATCCTTATTCATTTAACTTTTAGTTAATTTCTGTCTTCTAATAATATGGTTAGCAGTAGTTGTTATTCTTTATCTATTCCACCGATGTATCAATTCCTGTGTACTGGAATTAAGTCCATTTGTAACTGCCTTAGGCTGGTTTTCTTTCTGCAAGACTTCCAAGAATCTTTACTATGTCAAGACCAGTCAACTGTAGGAAACAGCCCTGCAAAGGTTTAGCCAGAGAACAGTGACAGTATGTGTATGGGAACCCAAAGCATTCTTTGTGGTTCTGGAAGACCTGAAGTGGTGACGTGGGCACCGGTCCCCCCCCCCCCCCCCCCCCCCGCCCCATTTCTCCCACCGTTTCTTCTTTCTTCTCTCGGAAAGGAAGGGCAGGTCTAGGCTGTGCTCTTTTCACTTGGGTGAAAGTAGACTCAGGAATTGCACTCACAATCCCTTTATCGCGGCCTGGCTCTCTGCTGGCTCCTCTTCAAAGGTGGGCCGTGTAGACCTGGCTGCCTCACCTTGCCCACTTACAAACTTGTCATCTGTTTCCATACGTT